CTCTAGCTCTCGGAGATCCTCAGCGCTTGGAGAATCCTCATTGTCCAGTTGTTCCAACACATCTAAGTCATGATCTAACATCCGACCATCATAATCCTTTAGGAACTATTGATGTTTTTGCAAGCGAATAATCTTTACCATTATTTGATTCATCTTTTTGAAATACTGCAGAAATTGCTGTTGGGCCACTGCAAGATTGGCCGCAACTTTTTACTCATTTTGCTTGAGCTTATCCCATTCTCAGTTACTATAGAACTGTTTTTCGCACTTATGACCGCGCAAGGTACAAGCCGAATATTTCTTGCTTCAAGCAGATAAATTCATGATACAGACCTTGCCTCGAGAAAAGCAGAAGGCACAGGGGGTATCAACAGGACGATCGGAATTTTCGATCCTATTAGCTAAATGTTTGTTGTCAGCATACTTGTCGCGTTTAGGCATGATGACCCATCCTGAAAAGAAAAGAGAACTGAAGAGCCTAGACAACCGCACACACGGGGGCACTCACCTTTATGTTCTTAGGGACAAGAACCTTGAAGAAAGGGAGGTGGTGTTACGGACCCCTGCTAGCTAAAGGGACTAGTAAGATGGTTATGTTAGGCAGAAAGGCTGTACTTGGAAAGATGTAACTCTTATCAGAAAGGACCCGGACTGAGCCGCTACGTATCACGAGTCACGTGACTGCGGGTATACAAAAGGGTATATAGTCGGGTATATGGTATATGCCTATGGTATATGGGATGATATACGGAATGGTATACAAGGGACAGATATATAAGGACACTCCTTCATATACTTAGCTAGTTCTGTTCTTCGTGCTCAATTCAAATTGTCTTTAAGTAACCTACGTTTTGGTAAAGCTTAGTGACAACACTCGTCCGCACTTACTTACGGATAGCTGCGCGGCACTATCTGGCCTTACTTCTCTTCTTCTGTTCAGATCAAGTCACCTTTAGATAGTCAACAGCCTGACTACCTTTGATTCAGTTCACAAGGTACGTATCGGAACGGGAGCTAAGCTAACAGGAACAGGAAGAAGCGATCCTAGGGTTTGACACTTATCAAATACATCCATCTTGTACTAAGTAAGATAATAATATCAGTAATATAGATAGCAGAACTATTTTTTAAACATATTATCACATACCATGAAATACTAAAGTATATCATATCAGATTAAGATAAATTATTTATTTCAAGATTCTGGAGATCACTCACAGATCTTATAAAAATTAAAAAATAAATAATAATGACTTACCACCCACAAATAAATGGGCAAATAAAAAAGATTAACTAGATAATTAAATAATATCTAAGACACTACATAAACTATTAGTAGAATGATTAAATAAATCTGTTATTAATAATACAGTTCTCATACAATAACGCCAGTCACTTAACCATTAGAGTCTCATTATTTTATACTAATTACAGTTACCATCCCAGGTTTCTGGAAACACTGTTAAAAAAGCAGTAAGTTACTGATATAGCTAAGAATATTATTATATTCATAGAAAACATATATTTCCAGTTATTCCAAGATATTGAGTTTATGAACTTGCGCAGCAAGATGTACTATAATTATAAACACAGAAAGGAACCTGATCTAAAAAGAAGAAAGAAAGTGTTCCTACTCTGCAGAAACATCAAGATGAAATAACTAAGTTAGAAGCTTGATTATTACAAGCTAAGACTATTTATCATTAAAGATAAGAAGGGACCGGTTAACTACAAGTTGAGATTACTAAAATCAATGAACAGAATTTATCCAGTATTTTATATCTTATTATTGGAACCCGTATTAAAGAATGCTAGAATTGCAGAAAACATGGAGATTAATAACGATACAGAGAAAGAATACAAAGTTAAAAAGATCCTAGACTATAAGAAGATTAGCGGCAGGTCATAATATCTAGTGAAATGGGTAGAATATAATATCTCAGAAAATACATAAAAATCTATCAAGAATTTGACAGGCTGTTACCAGCTTGTGGAGCAGTATTACTAACAAACAAGTTAAAATTCGCCTAGAAAGAAGGAGAGCCAACCAGTTGGGACAAACTAAGATCAGGCTCAGACACAATGGCTAGTTTAACACCACTACTTACAGCAGTACTAGCTTCAGCCTTAGATATCACAGTCTTTTAAGCGTGTAATCTTTCTTGTACTTCACATTTTTTTTACTCTTACTTCTCGAGCTTTTCCAGCTCCTTAATCTTCTTTATATCATAAGCTATAAAATCGCCAGCTCGTCTTTATAACAACCGCTTTTATTTTTATAATTGAAGAAGTTTCGCCAGAATGACTTCCTTTTCTTCTTCAATAGAATTTTAGGCCTTAATTAAACACTTCTACTTAGCATCAGAGAAAGAAAAATCAGGTATTTTATAACAGACACTGTTTACCTTCATATACTTGCTACAGCGATTAGAACTCTCAGACTTGATATACACCTTATATAGATAAATATAGTACTTGTAAGAAAAGATTATAAGAAAACCCTTGTCTTCAATCCATTAATAAAGACTCTTCTTATGCACGGAAGTACTGAACAATATAATTAATGATTTAGACAAAAAAATTGGAAACAGTACTAGATACTCACCTTATAGAGAAATACTGCTGATTTATGTTCCTTAAGGATAAGAAACCTTGAAGAGGGGGAGTGGTATTACGGACTCCTGCTAGCTAAACAACTAATAAGATGGACACGTCAGGTAGAAGGCTACGTCCGGACAGATAAGGACTCTTATTAAATAGAATCCCGATCTGAGTAACCAATAACCGGAGCCGTTACACGGCACGTGACTGTGATAAACATATTAATAACAAGCTATAACATGTCAGTATTATAACAGAACATGGCAGCGCTATAACAGGACATAGTAGTACTATAACAGGACATGGCAGTGCTATGAAATAACATATCAAGTAATATAATATAACATAACGATGCTATAACAAAGAATAGGATATAAGAACACTCTTTCATATACTTAGCTAGTTCTGTTCTTTATACTCAATCTAATTATCTTTAAGTAACCATATGTTTTAGTAAAGCTTAGTAACAATACTCGTCCGTACTTACTTACGGATAATTGCGCGGCACTATCTGGCCTTACTTCTCTTCTCTTATTCAAGACCAGTCATCTCTTAGATAGTCATCAGTCTGACCTATCTTGATTCAGTTCAAGGTACGTATTGGAACGGGAGCTAAGCTAACAGGAACAGGGAGAAGCGATCCTAGGGTTTGACAGTAATCCCATATAAAATCTATGATTTTAAATTAATATAACTTCACAATTTCGAAAGATTATGACTTAAAAATTTATACATAAGCTTATAGTACTATTTTCTATATATAAGTTTCTTTCTAATAAAATATATCAAGTAATACAAAAGTTACTGCTATCATGTCTTAAAATAAGACAATTTTTTATTATATTATATATATAGACTAAATATTTAGCTTAAAGACTATTTTTCTTATATATTATAGAAGCTTAATTAATCTAGTTTTATATTCATAAAGAAATTTTCTGAAAAATATTTTTTCTGATCTTATATAAATTTTTATATTTATGTATTCATATGTAATTTATATCTAAAATTTTATATTTTAAAAGATCTATATCTTTTTATATACTTGATATTTTTTAGAAAATTAAACTTTTATATAATGATATAGACATTTCTTTATAATATGTATCAAATTAAAACTTATGTAGCTTGAATTGCTTGAGTTATTAAAGAATTACTACTTAATACATCTTTTGATGCGGCGAGTGGTGGCCGACCCAACCCAATAGGGTGGGGCGGGCGGCGCGACGAGTGGATAGTACCGATCGCAATAATGTGGACGGACTTTGAAATTCCCAACCATACTCCGACAATGGTGGCTAGCGTCAGGCTGAATCTCTACAAAAACCGGCCAATAGCTTGCACTGCGGCTTGCTAAAATCTCACCGCGGACACTGAGTTGATTGATAGTCCTTGCTTGCTGGCTGTTCTGTCTAAAATTGGGAGGGCGCTGTCGATCAGGCCGTCGATCGTGGAATGGCAGTTGGGTTGGCGCGACCAACCTCGATAAAGCAGAAGCTAACTAACGGTGCGGGTTGCCCCATTGCAGCAGGCGTCGCTTGAGGCTTTATCCCGAACAACACGAGGATCTTACTGCTTAGTGCTTAGATGCTACCTAACACCACCAACACGGATATTGACGTATACCCTCGACAAAGAAAGTCTATCTGTTTGTCATTATTAATCCGTCGCTCATGCCAGACTCCGAATCGCCGAGCCCGTTGTTACGGTGGTTGCGACCGGGCCGCTGTGCCATCAGCCTTATGGGTTGCGTTGGCTCGGTCGGAAATCTCAGGCGACCACAGATGAGACCCAGCCACTATCTTTCTGATACTAAGGAGTACTAGTGCTTACTTTTCAATAATCACTGTTGGTTTTATGAGTCATGTTTCGGGTGACTGCGTTGTTTTGAAAGGGGTCGACTGTCCACTAGGCAAGCTGGCCAGAACTGCCAGTTATCTACATCCATCCATTCCACGGGGGGCCTATTCCTGGCCACAAGATATGTGGCTTCTATGGAATGGAACAGACTAGGTAATCTTGAACTTATTGAACTCTGATTCTCAGACATTTCTGTCCCTTTCACATAGGTCATTTACCTTTTTTTCATTTTTTCAGTTCCTTCCAAAAAGGGGGTTTATTTCTTTTCTCCTTGCCGGAAATCCAAACAACCAGAATGATACACTGGACACATTTCGCATTCACACCGTGACACTTGGTACTCGACCACATGGTATATACAAACTCCATGACGAACCCCTTACTGTCATCATAGGTCCTGCTCGACAATCCGGCGGGGGTTCGTATGGCGACGATGGTTTACTTGGAAACTCATCTTGACCCTTGGTGTTACAGACCCTCAAGGTCCAGCGAACACAGGCGATCAGACATCGAGACAAAACAACGGCAACCCAACCGATCTAGTATCGCACTTTGGCCTGTTCTTTAGCAAGGTCTTGGCTGGGATCAGTCAGCGCGTGATCCTCGTCATGCCTGATCCCAGCAAGAACTTACATGTGCCGCTCCAACTCATCGAGATGACGGCGTTGTTCAAGCATCTTTTGCCGCACCAGGCGGAATTTCTCCGCCTCCTCACTCTTCACAAAGTGAGTTTCATTGGCCGCGTCGCGGTGGACGAGTGGGTTCTTCCTGTCAGGTGGGTGTGATGGTTAGTGGCTGCTTGCGACCACGACCGGTGGATGAGTACAATTCATGGCGTCATCGGGACAGGTCCCGGAATTGTTCTCTATGGCCACAAGGGGACGGCGAGGGGAGGGCCACTTACTCCGCCAGATACCCACGGGGCTTGGGGGTCACTATCTCGCCCTCGCGCCGAGCAGGAACCGCAATGGAGAAGGGCCGCACGCGGCTGGAAATCTGGCTGGCGCGGACGAGAGGGCGAGACGCTTGGTGCAGAGACAACATGTTGTAGTGATATATCTATCGACCTCGGTTTGATTGTGATCAATACGTCAGATTCAACAATGGCATTTACGCCCAGCAGAGGGTGCCGATGGATGGGATATTGTGGGATTATATACGACACCTCGATCAGCCGGTGATCGTCATGTGACCGGTTCCTCGCCCAATCCGGCGACGCTGAAACCATTCTGATTGATTCAAAAGCGCCCATTATTAGGCGAACCAAATTGTTTGCCCTGAGGGGTCCTCTCTCGATGCTCGCTGGCCAGTCCAAACGGATCAGAGTCCTCCGCGATCGACGAATCCCCGGATCAACATCTTCTCACCCCCGGCCTGATGTCTCCGCACCACAAAGCAAAGGCCACGGGTGATGCCACTGGTCAGACACAGGTCGGGACGCAAGGGTGTGTTTGTCCACCATGTGGTATGATATCATCGGCGGGGTGGAATGGGGGACCTATGGTTGAGATGCGTCGAGGTGCGTCGATAACGCGTACAACCATCCACTGAACCCCACATTGCCACTGCAAATGACGGTCGCTGGCATTTCCTCAGTTGCTTTCCTCAGTTGCTTGCACAGAAGTTATGACCCTGAAGCTATTGGATCCCTGCATTACCATGCGGAAAATGTCAAAATACCTCACCTTATCACATACCAGCATCAATGACAGAGGTGGTTACACGTCATTTTGTTTCAAGGCAATCGACTCATCTACTCCGTAGATTCATGTGTATAGGCTTGCTAATAACTGAGCGATTGTCGCACCGCCCTTACAACTGGCACCCAAACTCCTAAATTGTGTTCTGGCTTTGCTGATATCTTTTAGTATATCTTGAGCCCATCCTGCGATTGCATTCCTTCAAACGATGGAATCCTTATTCTTGGGGATGGCTACTGTGCACGAGTTGTTAAGACACAGGTCGCTCTTACGATGGGTGAAGTCGCTTATGAGTTGAACTTCAGACTGCAGAACCTGAAGGGTGCTTCATTGTGTGTTGGACAATTGTATGATCAACACAAACTCATTCCCGATCGTAATAAACTTGGGATGTGTGTAGCTTCGGGGATGGATGGTATTGAAACACTGATTGGAGTTCCAAGAAAGAACTACATTGGTCATGCGATCAAATAAAAGCGATTTTATTCATAGATTGTCGGCACAATACTTATCTGAAATTAGGCAGGCTTAGCCAGTTATTCCGCCTCCATACAAAATAATAGAATACCTCCATCAAGAAAACACCTCAACTTCATCTCGCAAATTTCCTTGATCTCGACATATATAATAATTACATAGAATAAACCCCCATGCTCATCAAACCTGAAATACCTTACTTATCTTACATTATCGATAATACTTATCCCATCCCCACCCTCATATCACATACTCCAAGACCTTCCCTTTTAGGAAATACATATAACCTCACTTCTCAAGAACAGAATACAAACTATACAACAAACCTTACCTCCCATCCCAGCATCCCTTCTAACAACCCATCACCTCAGCAACCATACTCCCCATAAATCCCCAACCCGCACCGAAATCCCACCCTGTAGCCTAAGGCCCATAACACTTTCCATCTCTAGTCCGGTCGTGACGTAGAAACATTATCACAACAACACCCAAGTTGAATAACAAATAGGTCATACCTGCAGTATGAGTCACCTAAGAAGAAAATCTGACGCTCCAGCCGGTCTAGCTCACTTCATCCTTTGTTCTGTCGCCGGGTCTATTGTGAATTTGTGATCGACGCTATTATTATCCTTGGTTTGTTGTTCAATACAGGGGCTATTTATCGGCCAGAGCTTTCTCCATTTCCTTCGAGTCCTCAGTCAGAAGACAAGACCAGGCATAGCATAAAAATGGACACGTACGTGCTCACACTTACCAACCACACAGCTCAGCAGCAGCAAATCTGACACACCGTATAAAAAAGTCGCAAATCCCAATCCTCCAACTCAGACACCAATTCCAAAACCGAAAACTCGAATACTGACTCCCAGGGGGAAAACTCCTCTAATCCAGTCCGTCACCTCATGCCATACCCACCCACCTACATCCATCTTCACTGGATATATATTCCAACTAAATGAAAGGAAACGAGGAGAATCACTAACTAACAACTATTCAGACTCCCATTTCTAAGCCCGGGGACTCTTCTCCTCAAGCCCAAATCCGAACACAAACACAAACCCAAGAATACAATCACATATATATATCCATCTACATATTCTTTCGAGTACGGATCTAATATTCATGTTGATGTTGACGATAAACATATAGCCAAGCACCCCCTTTCCTTCCAATGCGCATTATATCGACAATGGCATACGAGTCGATGTCCTTGGTTGAGGAATTATTAAGGTGGGTTTGCTTTGCTTTGCTTTGCCGGGGAAATGAATTGATTGGGGGGGGTGGGGGGTTAGGTTATTATTGATAAGAGTCTCACGGAGTATTGGTGGGTATGGCGTAGGCAAGCAACATAATGGCAAAAAATTAAGCCGTTAACATCAACCGCCCGGGTGGTCTAGTGGTATGATTCTCGCTTAGGGTCACAAACCTGAGCATATCTGCGAGAGGTCCCGCGTTCGATCCGCGGCTCGGGCCGTTCTTCTTTTTGGTGTTTTTTTGCTGTTTCTCTCTCTCTCTCTCTACTTGAAGCCTTTTTTTATTATCATCTTTTCTTGAAAGTGAGTGACTAACTGGGTTTGGAGTGAAAGAAATAGAATGAGTGCTCTGCGAGCCATGTTGGTTAGTTACACAGTGGGAACCTGTTAGGACTGACTGACTGGTGTCTGTTTGTTATGAAGAGGGTCCCAACCAGACAGACCAAAAGAGAACTCCCTCGGGTAGAGAAATACCTTCAAGGATGAAGCGATCCCGACACTTCATCCCTGGTGCTCGCAGATGATCGCCATCCGAGCTCGTGATCCCATTATCTGCAAGGCGGCCAGTCACTAGATAGTCCAACCACACACTGTGGCCATTTCCCCCTCCATATTAACACCTCCCTGGACCTCCTCTCTCATACGGGAACACAGCGTCTCAATAAGCAACCTCATCATCAACAATATTTCCTTGTTCCGGTCTGTTGCTACCCGATCAGGACAAATAGCCTCACTAACCCGTGGACGATAATGACCCCGAGCTGAAAGTATAAACCCTTGTTCGTACTCCTTATCAAGCAATGGCGCAATTCGGACCCATTCATGATACAGGTCTACATTTCCGACATCGCCTTGGAGCATACCCACGAGGGCCATGATCTCTTCGCCTAGTCGGAGATTATGCCGCGTAGATTTGATCTGTCCGTGTTGTGAGTTTGATGGGTTATGTAAGTCGTCATCGTGTTGTGACCCGTCATACACATCTGGATGCTTTTTCTCGTCTTCGATATTAGCATCTAATCCCAGTAACGACACACCTACCGGGACATCAACTCTCCTCTTGCTCAAGAACGACCATATTTGACTCTTGTAACGTCCCCAAGGCCACATCTTCCACACCCGTTGCACGAAATAAACCACAGCACGAAATCCCACCTGTCCCATAACGCCCACCAGCGCCGTCATAACCGGGACCGCAAGCAGAGCCCAGAAGACGAAAAACGACTTCCCGAAAATACTCGTCGGGTAGAGATCTCCGTATCCGATTGTCGTCAGCGAGACGAAGGTGAAATACAAGGCGTCGAAGTAAGTCCAGCCCTGACTGCGCTCGGAACTTTTGAAGATCCGGGCACTGACGAGCCAGAGGAGGAGCCAAGCTGTCGCGGAGAAAATGAAAACGAGCCAGCGACGACGGCGGTGGTAGTTGGATTTAATGGCTCGTGCTTTGGAGATGTTTATCTTGGGGGGTGGTTCGTATTTGGTGTGGGGGTGGGGTGCTGTATGGAGATTGATCCCTGCTTGTTGGAGTTCGAATCGAAGATGGAACTCGCCCATTCTGGTTGAGAATGATGCTATTGAGCTGACGAAGAGACCCAGCGATGTGATGCCAGCTGTCGCATATGGAAAGAGCAGGCTTCTTCCGAGGTGGGTTTTGGGGACGATATTTCCGATCCCCACTGTTAGGATCGTGTATACGGCCCAGTAGAGAGCGTCGGGAAGAGACCAGCCCTCGATGGAGACGTATATGGCTGCTCCCCCGAGGAGGAAGGTTGCTAGGGTGAGTGCTCGTAGGACGATGCTTGTGTCTTCTACGGATGCGCGGTCTTGGAGAGTGAGATGGACGGTGCAGATGCTGGCTGCGTAGTTTAGCAGTAAGCACGCGATGAAAATGTAGAGTGAGGCTGCGAAGATGCCGTAGTAGTAGTTTTGCGTGTAGTGCCATGTCTGGGGTGGTGTGGTCGGGGGAGGATGTTGTGCGATCACACCCACGAGGCTGAAGAGGATGGCCGCGGATGAAGCCCAGAGACAGGCGGCCAGGGTAAAACCCCTGACTGCACTCCACTTCAGCTTCATAGTTAGCAAGAGTGTGAGATCTGCCGTCGCGGATATTGCCAGCGACATGGCTTTGAGAGTCACGGTCCTGGGAGAGTTGGATGTTTGGATTCATTGAATGGGAGATCAAGGACACACCAGGCAGGCTGAACTAGCATCTTGGTCGAGGAGTCAGAGTGTACGCTTTCCTGCCACCCTTGACATACGGTGCAGATGTTGAACATGGTTGCCATGGCGCCGATTGTTCCCTGAGATTCTTAGTGTGAGGTCGCTGATGCAGAGAAGGGGAAATACCGCCAGTACAGGAAAGCTAGTTGATGCTAGCCACCACCGATGACGCATTTTGATAGCTTTAGATGATCTGCAATTTGACATGTCGGTTCTCGAAGAAGCTCGGTGGTATTTGCCGGCCGACGTGCCGAAATGCGGAGGTGGCGTGACGGATTCATTATTAATCATTTGATTGAAATATACGAGAAGTCTACATAAACAGTCAGCTTCTCCCATCTGACATGCTATTTTTCACCATCCTCCAAATGTCATCCATCCCAACCACCCAACAAGCTGCCGTCCTCGTCAACCCCGGCCCCAACTACCAAATCCACCTCCGCGATGACATGCCCGTCCCCCAGCCCCAAGACCACCAAGTCCTGGTCAAACTAACCTGTACCGGTCTATGGTAAGCACCTCCCCTTTCTTCCCCTCTCTAACATCCCCTAAACAAACCCCAACCACCATACCAACCAGCCACTCCGAGATCCGCGCCTCCCTCGCCTGGGCCACCTACAACCCCATCCTCGGGCACGAAGGCATCGGCACCGTGATTCAAACACCCCGCAACAACCCCTCTCTATCAGAATGGCTCCACGTCCGCGTCGGCATAAAATGGCTCCATAACGCCTGCACGACCTGCTCCGTCTGCACGCGCGGCTCCCCGCACTACTGCCCCCACCAAGTCAACACCAGTCGACACGTCCCAGGAACCCTCCAACAATACGTGCTCGCAGACGCGCGCTTCCTAACACGTATTCCGGTTGGCCTCGCAGACGAGCTCGCCGCCCCGTTACTATGCGCGGGGTTAACCATGATGGGAGCACTGGGTCGCTTAGACGGCCTCATATCGCCCGGCGAGTGGGTCGTGATATCCGGAAGTGGGGGTGGTCTCGGACACATCGGATGCCAGATCGCATCACGGGTAAAAGGGTGGAGAGTGATTGCGATCGATCACGGGGAGGAGAAGAGGAGGTTGAGTTTGGAGGCTGGGGCGGAGGTGTTTGTGGATTTTCGGGATGAGGAGGATGTGGGGGCGAGAGTGAGGCAATTGACGGAAGGGGAGGGGCGCATGCGACAGTGGTGGTGCCGGGGACGAGGGAGGCGTTGAAGACGGCGCAGGACGTAATTCGACATATGGGCGTCATGGTTTGTGTGGCCTTGCCGGAGAATGGTGTCGAGTTGCCAGTTTCGGCTACGGGGTGTGCGGCGAGGGGGATCACGATTGTGGGATCGTCGGTGGGGACGGAGGAGGAGATGGTGAGGTTGTTGGAGTTGGCGGTTTTGGGGGTGGTTAGGCCTGAAGTGAGGGTTTATGGGTTTGAGGAGACGGAGAAGGTGATTAGGGGGTTGGAGAGGGATGGGATTACTGGGAGGGCGGTGGTGAGGATTCCGGGGTGAAGTCATTCATAGTTGTGTTGCCAGTCTTCCGGAACTCAGCTGCGGATCTAGTTTACCTCAAAAAAGAGAGGTATGAATCAGTGCCTTGTGACTAGCTGAGTTGGTGAACTACAAGATTCACTCCTAGAAGCCCACCGAACAGTACCATCATGACTGGACTGTAAATGGCAATCGATAATATCTAGGCATAATGAATGTGCATATTCATAAGGAAAACTAGCCAGGCTCCCGCAGAAAACATGGAAAGTTTCTGATATCTCAGGAGATGCCTAAAGGTGGTGCCTAGGATTGTGAAGGTGTCGGCAGTGGTATGAATTTATAGGATTCCCCTGTAAGTTCACTGATGGGCAGTCATCTTGTAATATTCCATAGGTGAATCCCTTCTGGAGAAGTCATTCTTCCATACCAGTGAAGAAGGATACTCCATATACTTCACAATATCCCATCCCATCACGTGCTCATTAGCTCTCAGTCCCAGATATTTATCTCTTCAGTGCCCCAACCATATATTCTCCTCGCTATTTGTACTCTCTGCCCCAAAATACCTTTCCAATTCAACACCAAATCACCACACTTACCTAGACACCATCCCGCACAACCCACCAGACTCACCATGTCCCACAAACGCAGCCCAGCCCTATCTAACCACCCTCCTTGGACAACCAACAAGCTGTTTTCCCAAGCAAAGCACGGTATCCTCTCACCCGACCAACCCTTCCCACTCCAATACACTGCAATCGAAGAAAAAATAGGCCATACAGTCGCATGCAACCTATCCGAAGACAAAGACATCAAGCCAAGATCCATACGCATCACCTACAACCCCATCATCAAAACACTCCATATCAAGAAACCAGTCTGGGGCCACGATATCTTCAGCTCTTGGGCCGAGCACGAGCGTATCCGAGCCTGTATTTCCGGATTCTTCACCCCAGATGAAACCGATGGGTTTTGGTTATATAAAAGCCCATGTACGCATCCCTCCCGCCACCTTCCCCTCTGTGACATTCCAATCATCATCATAACCATGAGAATTGTTAATGTGTGATAGTGGTCAACAAATTCCCACCCCCCTTCCAATCCACAATCAAAGAACCAGAATGGTGCATTGCTCCCTTCGGAGAATTCATCCCGACCATCGTTTGCGAAATTGGCTGTTCGGAATCATCTCTCACTGAAGACAAGGATCTCTGGATGACTGCAGGCGGGAGTCACGTCAACGTGGTCATCTTGTTGAAATGGTCTGCTCTCGATGAAGACTGTGTTTCTGGGTACTTTGAGATATGGCGACGGGGTGGGGTAGTTCCTGAGCGGATTGTAAGTTTATTATGATTATTATAATTATTATTATTGTTGTTGTTGTTGTTATTTTTGAGTGTTGTGTTGACGTACATTGCAGCAGATATTTCCTCGTGATGTTGAGACCGCACCCTTTGTGCTTTTCAGGAAGGATATATACCCCCGGGGAAAAGTCCCGGCGGGGAGGGATCCGAATGATACTTGGACTTGGAATTTGGATGTTTTTAGGTGGAATGTTGAGGATAGGATGAAGGTTCGGGGGGATGTGTCGGTGTAGGGAGTTGGGGGTAAGTAGTACTTGGGGTGGTTGATCTGCTGGTTGGCTTTGAGGGAGCTTTGCGGGGTTAGTGGGCTTGTCTGACCCGGATATTTGGAGATCGGTTTGGGAGGGTTAAGGAGGTGGGTACTAATCGGTAGAGTGTAGTAATATCGAGATAAAAGCTTTTTTTATTTTTTTATTTTTTTAAAAAATGGGGGGAAATAACAAAGAAGGAGAAAGAGGAGAAGGAGGCTAAAATAGGATCGGTCACTATATGGTAACGACTTTCATTCCACGGTAGCATGTCAACAACATTTCATATTGATGAACAAGTTATCCATAAGAATAAAACCGGCATCGTTTCTATTTCTACTCCCCGCCCCCTTGATGCGGTCAAGTCTCATCAAAAACCTGGTACAAACCCCGTGGGCAAGACCTGTATTTCCCCCCAGTGTCACCGCTGGGGAAAGCAGTTCAAGGTAGACAATTCCAGCTTGTCAGGACTATCACAAGCTGGCTGTGTGATTTAAGCAAGAACAGTATGAGATCTCTCAGGAAGATATATAGTAATAAAGTATCAACAATGTGCGTCATCAGCGTATCTGTTCTCTCGTATGCTTTATTCTGCCATGAGGTACATGGGACATCTTGAGCAAGAATATACCCTCTTTATATACGCCGTACACAGCTCTAAATTAGGTCACATATCGGAACCCCTTTTGGAGCCGACGCGCTGCCGCAATATCAATTCCTTCCACCTCCGCTGTCCTCTGCAGCCGTCGAATCTCCTTGTCCGTCAAGATGGCGTCCTCATCCTCCAGCCGGGCCAGCCGCTTGTTCTGGAGATTCAGGTGGAAGTACAGGGCGGCTGCCACGACGGCGCTAAGAACCTGCATCCCGATACACACTCCCATGGCGGTGTAGTAATAAGGCGCTTCCTGTTCCAGGTAAGTGTACGGGGTCCAGATACTGGCCGAGTTGGCAACCGAGTTGATGAATGCGTACGCGGCAGCTCGCTTCGCTGGAGGCCGGGGAATTGCATTCGCGATCCAGGAATACAATGTGCCGTTCTGAGCAAAGACGAAGATCATCAGGAAAAAGGAGAAATACCGAGGTCCGAAGGAGTCGGTCGTCATGAAGATGATGAATCCCACAATCGTGATGGGAATTGGACCGACAAAGAACCAGAAGCGATAACCGAATCGATCGGACAGGTATGAGTGGGCAAGGCTGTACACAACCATGAAAACGTAAGGTGGCGCCACTAAGAGCAGGGTGATGATTCGGTTATAACCCAGCGTCTCCGTCAAGGTCGGAAAGAAGTTTTGGAACCCACTAGCGGCGGTGAGAGACATGTACGCAATAGCAAGAAGGTAGGTTTTGACATCAGCGAACGCTAGCTTCAGGCCCTTGATCTGGCTCATGCTGCCGCCCTCGTCAACATCTGCCTCGGCCGCCTCAATGGCCAACCGACGAGTGGCAACTTGTTTCATCTCTGGCGACAAGAGTTTCCAGGTGTCCGGAAAGTCGGGGAGCACAACGCAGATGGCTAGGCCGATCGCGACCGTGATGGACCCCTCGATGATGTACAGCCATTGCCAGGCCGACATACCTCTCTCACCGGCTAGTCCGTCAAGGATACCCGCAGCAATCAAGTTGCCAAAGGCACCGCTAAGCAATGAGCCGGAGTAGAAGATGCTCATGCGCAGGGCCAGCTCCTTCTTTGTATACCACTTGGACAAATAAAAAAGCACGCCCGCGAAGAAAGGCGCCTCGACCAGACCGAGAATAAACCGACAGGCTACGATGCCCCCATACTTTGTGACTTGGCTGGTCAAGGCCGAGACGAGACCCCATACCGTGGTGAAGAAACCGAGATAGAGCGAAGGGCGGCCCATGTAATTGAGAAGCAGATTGGAGGGGACCTGCATGAGGATATAGCCGACAAAAAGGATGGAAAGCCCCGTTTCGTACTTTTGTTCATTGAGGGAGAGGTCCTGTTCCAGGCCTTGAAGCTTGGCGGCGGCATAATTATTTCTGTAGAGTCAGCTCGTCGCACTAACAGTCCCTGTCGTCCCAGGCTGATGATTACGAGGTGCGTACCGGTCGATGTAGTTCATCAGATAGACGAGGATGACCAACGGCATGATGAGGGTGTCAATCCGCCGCCGCAATTGTCTCTCTAATATCTTCTCTTCCTCCGTCAGCTGGGCCAACTGAGAGACCTCCTCATGGGCGATCTCAGCTTTTTCGCCCATGGCGTCATGGTCGGTGATGAAAGTTTCCGCCATGATGAGGTAAACGGAAGATTGTTCGCTTAATGGAGGGAGCAAAGAGCATCGGCACTTCTATTGTGGAGTTCATCATGACGGAGAAGACCCCCAGCTATATATGGCAAAAGATAGGGGTTGCTTGATACAGTGCGTGAGGATGGATGTCATGGAGCCACCGGTAGGGAGCCACCGGTAGTGAGCAAAGCAACCTGGGATCCGGGGGAGGGGCGGGCGTGGGGGGACGCTCAGTCCTGGTTGGATCCACGAGGATGTCGGGGTGCATGTAAATGCGGGGAACGACGACTAGGTGAACCAAGAGCTACTCGGCTGATCCTCTCCCCCACGCCATTCTTCTTCATCCTTCGTGCCACAACTAGTATGTATCTCTGTCATCGGAGGTTGTCCGGGGAAGTGGGGCTGATCGACTCGTCCGTCTGTCGGATGTCCATGATCATTCGTATCTTTGATCCTATATTCCCGTGAAATTCTGTCTCGGGGAACTCTGTTGACATCCCCGCCTTTATGCGACGAATGGCCGTCTCCTTGGCGATGTCTGAGTGTCGCAGATCCAAGTCCATGGCGTTTTCAGTCTGTTAGACTTATTCTGGTTGTTTAGCCAGTAGCTGTGACTTCCCGTGTCATGGCAATGCTTGGCTCGCAGTATTTCCGACAAGCTCGTCATTGGGTGTGGTTGCGAGTGGCTGGACGCGCGCATCTGCTAGTCTGTCAGTTTGAAGCTCACCATGTCGTCACACGAAGCCGTTTTCATCTTCCGAGATTTCTATCGACGATTCATCCATCGGTTTACCGTTCTGACGCATCGATCAACAGCCTTGTTCCGGGTACGGAGTGCATGGTAGTGGATTGACAAGGTGGTGCTGGGGAGGATTGGAAATCGGACGTGAAGTCTTGTCGACTCGAGAGAATCCCGGAGGATCTCGTGATCCCAACTGTCAGGTGATTCTGGTCAGTGACATCGGGCACCGGTCTAATTTGTTATTCCCCCTCCATCTATCAGCATCACATCATCACTTTTTTATCGATGAACCGGGGCTACCGTCAACAATCCTCACTACTATCACGTTTGTTTTAAGATACCCGATGCTAACACTTTATCTACTTCATTTATAAGATGGTTACCCTATGACAGTATGGTATATATTGAACCGGCGGGCCAGAGACGTTCGCGACTGGGACAGATCTCCACCTTCGGGTACTGAAATGGCCCGAGAATCGGACACCTGCATGAATCCAGCATGCCTTAAAGGTACTAAGCAATCATCCGATCAAGGGATGTGGTGTTGATATTGTCTATCTATGGAGTGACGGTCTGAGTCTGGTTGACCGTTGCAGTGACGCTAATCCGGATCCGCCGCCAGCCCCGACCGGCCTGATTGGTGCCTTGCCGGACTCCCACCCAAGTCTGGACCTTGGAACTCGAGACCCCTCTTTTACGCAGCATCTACCTTTGACCGCGGACGGCATACACTGTCAACTGTTCTCCGTTCCACGTTTCTCCAATCCCTTCGGTGGCGATTCTGGAAGCCATCTATGCAGTCAATCCTCCGTCATGCGCCATCGTCAAAGAAAGTCGAGCGGCCGATGGCGAGCCCACCGAACCCACTTCCCAGGCCGCCGTCGCTACAAGTGCGATCGATTATTGGTCTCCTGGGTCACTGGGCCCAGCGTAAGCGAAAGTGAGAATTTCGGAGTAACTCGGCCATGCTTGCCCAGATCTTGCTGGCAGCGATCCCGCCGTCCTGTTGGCCCCATTCACGCTCAAGCTCGACTTCGACCTTCCCCTATTGTTACATCGTGAACTGGTACACTGGTACGACTGGAGCTCCGCCTGAACTCGCCGCACATGGCGACCCTCGATTCGCAGACAGTGCTGGCCCCCGATCAGTTCCGGATAAAGACACCCCTTACTTCGACTCAACTGGCCCGTCAACTGCGGTCCTGCAAGGTCTGCCGGTTCCGCAAGGTCAAGGTGCGTCCCGACCCGATACTCTGTACGGGCGTGTATTTTCATTCCATGCTCCCTCAAAAAGAAATCATACAGACGAATAGGAATCAGGTGGAAAAAGGAAACGGATGGGGATGACTGCTAGTTGGGGAGAGGGGGCCCGTGCAACCCACTTCGCTGGCTCACCTGCATGCGTTATCCTCCCTAATTGACGATCCTGAGTAACAGTGTGATCGCGTTAAACCCTGTCATGCGTGCTGTGCCCACGGCTATCCGTCCAAGTGCGTCTACGATACCGAACCTGAAGATGACCTCCAGCCCATCAGTCAATCCGACGAGATCCGTAATCTCCGCGCGGAAATCCGCGAGCTAACGGCGACCCTCAATACCCGTGGTGCGTGTTCCCACTCCGAGGCAGGCTTGCCTCGGTGAATTCCGAGATGCCCTGCAGCTGACCTAGTTAATTAATCCTCTAGAACACCGGAGCCGAACTCCACGGCGTCTAGCGCAGCTCCAAAGCCTCGTCGATGTGATCCGCTCGGCCCCCCCGGATGCGGTCAACCGTCTTGTCGCCGGAATCCGAAGATCTCACGGGGGAACAAATGAGGTGGCGATCTCGGTGGGACCGGTAAATGGGTCAGAAGGTGGGTGTCCGCCGCTTCGTAGTGGGGAGGGTGCTGTCCCAGGAGCTAAAGGGGTCGTTATTACAGGGGCAGAACATGGTGCCGTCACCCTTCACCAGCCTCGCTCGTACGACAGTGACGACTCGTTGGATCCGGACGAGGAGATCTTTTCTCGGTCGGGTCCCGATGGTCACAGTCGGAGTTCGTCGGAAGACTCAGAGGACTCGAGCTATGGATCGATATGTCACATAGGATCCACGAAGCCCATGCTGGGTGTGTTTATTGAACGCTTTGTGGATGCATTTAGCCCCGAAGTTGATGCAAAAGCCGGTCAGGCCGGTGCCCTACGGCGGGCTGCCGAAATCCGCATGTTTTCGCCCATCCTCGAGGACGCGTTTGAATCGGTATCGGTCGCGTACTTTGGTCGGACCGTTCAGAATAAGGAGTTGGAAGCGGCTGGATTCCGTCTTTATCCCCGAGTGCTACGGAGTCTGCAGCAGGCTTTGCAAGATCCCGAGCGTAGCAAGGCCGAATCGACGTTGGTGACGGTCACCCTTTTGATGGCCTTTGAGGTATCCGCATCGCCCTTGACTTGATGGATGATTCTAATAGCCCGTAGAGTGTGGAGCGAACTACCCAGGTGTCGCTGATTGCCCACGTCCATGGTGCACTGCGCCTGATCGAGCACCGAGGCCCGGAGAATCATGTGCATGGGGTGGAGCATTTGCTCTATACGGAGCTGCGTCCATACTGGGTGCGTCTTAAGATCCAAGTTTCCTCGAAGCATTTGCTAAGATAGCCACAGGTTGCGGCGGCCATGGTCAGTCGCAAACCCTCTTTCCTCGCAAGCGAGGACTGGATCAACCTCCCTTGGTCCGCCAATACCAGCAGGAGAGACATCCTGCACTATCTACTCGACCTGGCAACTGAGATCCCGGCTCTGCTTGCGCAGTTCGACGACATCGAAGACACTCTCCAGTCCAACATGTACAGCACCCATGAAATCACCGTGAAGCAAGCCTCTCTCTGGAGCGGTGTCGCCGACCTGACCAACCGCTTCCGCCAGTGGAAAGTCCAATGGGTCGACAACTACCCCGACGGGCCACCCCAAGAGGTGGAGGTCGTGCCTGACGGCCAATTTCCCATATTCCAGTGTCGGGACTTCCGTACAGGGGGGATAATGACTCCCACCAAGTTCGTCTATCCCGATCTTCGTCTCGCACAAACCATGTGCCTTTATTACTCCACACGGTTGATTCTATCGACTGTTGATACGCGACCAACGGACCGCGTCGGACCCTTGGAACAGTATTCCCTAGGGTGTGGTATCTGCCGGACATTGGAGTGGTATTTGCTGAATGCACGAGGGAACATGATTAACCGACTTGCATTCCCGGTCAGAGTGGCCTGGGAAGTATTCCCGGAAGGAGGACCCGAACGGAAGTTCATGTACGAGGTGTTGAAACTGGTTGAGAAGCGACATGCCCTGGGTCTTTGGGGGAGCAACATGTCCGAGATCTCTACTCGGAGCGGGTCTCCTCGGGAACAGTCGCCGGAGGTGAGCGCAGAGGCATGAAGGGAAAGATGGGTTCGGATCGTCGGATGAAGCTGACTGTAAATCTTCATGAGTTATGATTCCTTCCGGGTTGCTGGCAATGGTTTGTTCGTGGTATATAATCTGTAATGGGCCGATGCAGGGATCCATCTCACTCATTTCTACCGACTGACGGCTTTACTGATCATTGGGGATCCTGCCGTGGCAGCTGCCCCTAACTTGACGAAGCATGTCCTCCCATGGGGCACAAGAAGCATCAACGTTGAATGGCCACGTTCCATATTGAATGACGGAGTATTAAGTTAATCTCCTCGGCTTCTATGACCATGCCGACAGCGCGGCAGATGCAATGTTCCCAGCCTTGCCAATGCCAAACCCAATTAAAGCTCTCTTAGCACCAAAGCCAAGGACATCTGGCGTGAGGTGGGTCTCGCTCGGCCCGAAGAATGAAGAAGAAGGATTGCGACTTGCCAAGTAGCACCTGATCAGGTCGAGAGGCGGCGGGAATAGGGGCACAGGTGCGTCGATCATTGGATAAAGCCCCTCCAGCGGGGACGGTTTATAAGGCTAGAATATTACTTCGTATCAACCATATATTAATGCGGTCTAGATCAGGGCAGCGTAGGGCCGTGCTGACTAGGCAGAAGTTCAGAAGGGAAAACGAATACGAATAATGTTCGATGGCTGGGTGCCCTTCGGCCTCGACCACTGAACTCATACTGGCACTGTCAACTCCTGAGCCCCGAGTGTGGATCCGACAAAATGGAAGGAACTGAGCGACCGACAGCCGGCGCGGTAAAAACTACTTCCTTAGCGTTTCAACTTAAAACAAGGTTGAATGGCGACTCCACCAACGACGGGTCCACCATGCTCCTGATACAATCTTCGTGCCAAAATGCCGTCTCCTCCCAATAGCCTACTTCAGGCTCAAACGCTTTATATCTTGGCCGGCGGCACCTTTTCTACCAAGCTTGAATCAACTCACACTCACTTGCTCACTCACTTCCTTCCCACTCAGTCATTCTTTTCTTAGCGACCGGTTCGCCTGAAGCCTTACATTCTTTACTACTCCATCTCACCATCACCATGCGTTACTCTTCCATGGCTGTGCCTCTGGCCTTCGCTGCCCGCGCTGCCGCCACCACCGCTGACGCCTGGGCCTTCGGAAACGGCTTCTACACTGGTCCTCCCACCAATGCGCACATCACCAAGGCCACCTGGTCCCTCGTGCCTCCCGCCGTTCCCTCGGGCGTGACCGTTAAGAACACTGACGACGAGGTCTGGGTGTCTCTGTGGATTGGTCTCTCCTCTACGGCCGGTGATTACGATGCCGATCTGTACCAGCCTCTGCTGAACTGGTCTCCTGACAACGAGTCGCAGTATGTTATTGGATCTTCCATAAGTATGACCAGACGATGCTAATGAAGGTAGGGGCTGCCCGGCCGATGACGACGAGTGGTGTGTCGCTGCCAGCACGTACACTCCTGGTAGGTTGTCCAGTCCTCGGATCCAGAGTTATATATTAATGTGATGGCTAGACGGTCAGAACGGCCAGGCCTACGTGACTGTCCCCACAAACACCCAGGTTGACTTTGAGGGTATGTTTTCGCTTCCAATCGCGAACTATGTTATCTTAGCTCTGACGAATGCAAACAGTCTACGTTGAGAACGACAAGGTCTACCAGGTTGTCACCATGGATGGCAAGACTGTCTCCAAGGAGAGCGATGGTGCGTTGCCCATATCCCCAAATCCTCATGATTATACTGACTAACGACAACATAGCCCTGGACAACCCTCTTCTCTACCTCTACTCTGGAGATGAGTGCTACACCGGTTCCGGTGACTGCGGTACCCTCCAGTCTTACAGTACGTTTCTCTTCCGCCCTTGCCCCTCGCCCGTAAGACAAATAAGAGACTGACCTCAACCTTTAGGCTGGAACAACATCACCATTCACCTCAGCGCTGCTGACGAGACCTTCGGCAACACCGTTTCTCTGTACAGCGGCTCTTCCACGAACGGACTCTCTACCTCCGACGGTGGTAAGACCTGGCACACCGATGCCATCAAGATCAACAAGGACACCTTCGCCGATGTTGAGGCCTAAAGGTCTATGGATATATCCAGGATAGTGTGTTGAATTGACGATTGGGGTAACAACTGCTAGTCAGCTGCTTTTTTCTTCTTTGCATTTATTGAAAAACGACACTTGCACCGTTCTCTTTCTGATAGTGAACTTGCATAATCTATACATTATATGTACATTGTCAAATCTACCAGTTTGTGATCAGAGACGAGGAATGGATGTCAACTTTTTCCCATAAGCCCGGCTAGGAATGTTTTCACATCGACGGGGACTTATTTCCCCCTACACAAGAGCGAAAATAAGATTTTGCGGAATGTAAACTCAGCAATGTTCTGGACCACCCCCCTCCGGGCTCGGTGGGTTTCATTGTCGATCGGGGAGTTTGAGATGGGATCTCTCCGGACTTGGTGTAACCCGTCCGGGGATTCGATGGGAACTTTTGTCCGGGAGTTGGGACAGGATGGGTAAATGACCGAGGGGGGGGGGGGGGGGGTTGTTTCGGGTGAGTGGGGGTTTTCTGAGAACTATGGTAGGGGTTGAAGGGTTTGATGTGGTGGGAGTTGTTGTTCTAGGGGTAGGTAAGGTAGACTATCTACTACTATGTATAGTGTACCTCCTGAGGGGAAGAATATGGGTCTGATTGATCTATCGAAACTGGCTGACTGTGTACATCATCACCGTCTGTATCGTTATGGGTATGTATGTGCATGATTGTCATTGGTATGTGTAGGGGCTACGGGTTAGTAGTCGAGGGTTTGTTTGATGGCATCGTATATTCCTATCGAGGTTAGTATGTAGTTTAAAGAGGACAGGAGGGGATACGCACTCGCGACATCGGGGATGATGAACTTCTCATAGAGAAGTCCGGTATGTGTACTCCATCCTGCCACCCGCTTGACAGGAGCCTCCAGACGCAAAAACGCCCCTTCCTGGATGGTGGCCGCAACCTCGGCACCCACTCCGTAATTAATCATGCTCTCGTGCACGACGATGGCCCGACCCGTCTTCTTCACGCTATCCAAAACCGTCTGTCTATCCCACGGGTAGATCGTGCGCAGATCGATCAGCTCTATACTCGCGCCCAGGGCCTTCTCTGCAGCTGCGATGGCCGCGGAGCAGAGGTACATCGGCTGTCCGTATGAAATGACAGTCACGTCGTTTCCAGGCTTCACCACCTCGGCCGTGTTCAACGGGATCGTATAGTATTCGCTAGGAACGTGCTCCACTGCTGCCCGATATAGCACCTTCGGTTCCATGAAGATGACGGGATTCTTGGACTCGAAGATCGCCGATAAGAGTAGCCCCTTGGCTTGCGATGGAGACCGTGGCATGACGACCTGTACGCCGGGGACATGCGCGAATAGCGCCTCGGGAGACTGCGAATGGTATCTAGCGTAGCCCGATAGTTAGCATTGATGATAGTGCTGGCTTCCAGAACCCGACGTAACTTACAAAGCACCATGTCCCACCGCTCCGCAGGGCATCCTCACTACTATTCCACCGATATCCACCCCCGTTGCACCTTCACGAAACCGGAACTTGGCGGCTTCGTTCACGATCTGATCGAACGCCGGAAAGACGTAATCGGCGAACTGAATCTCCGCAACGGGCTTCATGCCCTGCGCGGCAGCCCCGATCGCGAATCCAACAATACCTTGCTCCGTCAGAGGGGTGTTGAACACGCGTTCTGACCCGAACTCCGTTTGTAGATCCATCGAGCACCGGAAGACACCACCGAATGCTACATCTTCCCCGAAGAGCATAACCTTGTTTGAGGTGGATAAGGCGGTTCGTAACGCGGAGTTGATGGCTTGATAGAGGTTTATAGATTTTGAGGTAGTGGAACTGGGCAGGTCTAAGGTGTCCGATAAGCTGGAGGGCGTGTGGTGAAGGAGCGGTGTCGATTTGTAGTCGATGGGCAGGTTAAGGCGCGAGGAAGGAGATGCGGCGGTAGAGTAACCCCGACGGGGTCGGGGTATTAGTCTGGGTAAACGGAGGGAGGCCATCGTGCTGGATATAATGCAGTGGTGAGCTCGACAGTGGGAGGAAAAATCACGATGAACAAGGGGGAGAACTCTCCCCCTGGGTTTATCAAGGAAGTGGAAGCATTGCCTGGATCATGCGGGGAATGCGCCCCGAACCCCGTGGATAACCGGGGTTCGCGGCCTTGGTGCCTGGGTGCCTGCCGCCCTGGCTGACTCAGCGAGTGCTGTTTCGGGCCTAGCCGCGGTTTCCCTTTTGGGCCAGCGCCACTATACTCTTTCGCTCTCTGTTTCTTTTTCCTCCAAAGATAAAATGTTGGGACACAGAGTCTTCGTCTCTGTTCTCCAGATGGCCAGCGGATTTCCGTTTTGGCCTACTGGTATGAACTTAACATAAAACTTCACTTCCTAGGGGTCCATCTTCACATTTAGTCCCTGGAACGAGCTTATGAAATCCCAAGTACCACACATCTTTCTACTACCCCCTTCCCAATCGCTTCAGCATGTCCGTCCTCGCCCTCTCCACTTGGTCCTCCACGTCAATGTCCCATAGCCATTGCAATCGCTCTTGCAATGCTGATTTGAACTTCTCGTCATCAGCTCCAACACCATCGAGACACAGGCTCAATAGGTAAGCATTCTGTTTGCTGCTATCGATCACTTTGCGACTCCGTGGCCGGCGAATCGCATCATAGGCTTCAAAGGCAGCGACGGCGTCTTCCACTCGAATCACTCGCGCATCCCCCAGAAGCTCCGCAAGAACATGAGAGTCCTCAATAGCTTGGCCGGCTCCCGCCCCCTGGTGCGGCGTACATGCGTGTGCCGCATCCCCGGTAAGTGCCACTCGCGACCTGATGAAGGTGGAGATCGGTGTCTGCTCAAAGATGGCCCACTGAGAGGTATCGGGCATGTGCTTGTGAGAAGAATTAGCGAAATGTCGTGCAAAATATGAAGCTGACAAGAACAGTACCTGGAGTAGACTATTAACACAACCTCCCATGACCGGCTCAAGATCTTTCATCATATCGGCCATGCTCGCGGGACGAACCCAAGTGTCACTATCCCACTCGTCACGGAAAGTATAAAAGGCGGCGTTGACCTTCTTGGCCCGCGCAATCGGATACGTGATTCCATAGGCACCGTGTCCTATGTACATGCTAGACACACGGGCACGGTGGTCTCCAACCGCTTTGACCATTGTCTCCATGTCCAACACTGCACGATACCCGTACATGCCGCTATAGCGTGGCAAGCTCTGTCGGTACTCCTCGGGAACAACGAACTCCTTTACAGTTGAGCGGATTCCGTCGCATCCAATCACTACATCTGCAGTAGCTGAAGTGCCATCCTCAAAGAAGAGGTCCATGCCGTTCGGAGTTTCAGAGAGACTGACCATCCGCTTTCCAAAATTGGAAATGTCTGGTGGTATGAGACTGACTAGCGCATCCAGAAAGTCGGCCCTTCGCACCGATGTTTGTCCAGACGGAAGAGCTTTGAGATCTAGCAGTACTTCTCCCGCCTTGTCGCCCGTCGCCCAAATAACCTCGAACCAGGTTTGTCGAAATCGCTCGTACCCCGGACTGTCCGCATGGGTAGTTATGAGAGAATCATACAGTTCGCGAATCTGCGGGTCTATCAGGGGCATAGCGCGGTGGGCAGCAGGACCGATAGTCAACCCCAAGCCAATCTCCTTGAAGGCTGGGGCAGACTCATAGATGCGAACTGGCACGCCGCGCCTCAGTAACCCGACGGCCAAAGTCAGGCCTCCAATACCACCACCAACGATGGCGACAGTGAACTCTTTGGTCGGTCGCACAGAGGACATCCTGGATGTTGCCCTAGTTTTGAAAATTATAACAGACTTTTCGACGTATTGTGAGGGTGATGTTCTCAATCTAGTGGGAACGTGCAATGAAGTCTAAGCAAATTCAGCCCAACTGTCAGTGACGGGTCGGAGCCTCATTTCCAGAATCAGCGACTACCGTCCGGGAAAAGTCTCTTATCATGCGCTGCTGTCAGGCGTCCAGGCGAAAGAGAGTGGAATTGAGCTGACTGTCTGTCTTGGGTCTGCACTTCGTATTGGACAGCTGCCATTCGGTGCCACGCTACCCCTCTTCAAGGGTTGGCAATGTCGATCTTCAGCTGCAAGGATCTCGAGCGAAGGGTGTTCGCTCTATTCAAGACTATTTACTGGCCGGCTTCCATGTTGTTCGATGCTTGGTCATGTGTGTGTCTGATTTCAAGTCCGAGTTAACCCAGCCGTGGTGATACCGCATTGCTAAGTTTACCGTCAGCACACCAATGCTTGTCTCCAAAGAGCCAGTAACGCATCCATAATCACATTTGGAATGAGGGTATCATATGTACAGGGTTCAAGATAGTATATACAAAGAAAGAGTGGCGCTGAGCCTGCCACATCCGATTCACGGTTTCTGTCGCGACGACCGGCATGGCGCTGAAACCTGCCTTGCAGCGTTGTCAGACTGTGAATCATATCCACTGAACAAGACAACCAGGGCAGTGAACTCGACACGATTTCAAACGGACGCATCGCTATCGCTAAAGGCGACCAACTGATATTCGCTGGAACGGGAGCGACAGCGACGGAAATAATGGCCCCAGCCGCAACATGTATACAAACCGGCAAACAAGCCGACTCCGCTCATAACAAAAGCCATGCCAATAATCCAGTATTGGGGGTTCATGACCTGCTCGAAACTGCCGCCTTGCTCTCGCTGGAGTAATTCGGTGGCGCCTAGCACATTTCCATTGGAGTCTAATGCTGCCAATCGGAATAGGGTAAGCTCGAGATTTTCGGGAATCTTGATCTCGGTCTCGAAGCCATCTTTCGGAAATTGGGCCACGGCCTGATACGAGTTGTCGTTAACATCGTCCATTTCCCAGACCTCCAGACGCCATGCCACGACTTCTGTTGCACCGTTCCAGCTCACATATACATGTCCTCCCAGCACTTCGGCGTCTGGGACGGTCTGCGGCCGGCCAACCCAGGTGCCCTTGAAGGTACGATAGGAGACTACCCGCCCGAACCCGAAAAAGGCCGAGGCACCGAAATGAGTGTTGCATAGCAACTGTCCGTCGGCGCTGAACTCGCTAAATGCAGCACTGTGGCCCCACTCGACAAGAACTCGGCCGCTATCATCCAGCATCTGGACGTTGCCCTGCGATACCGACCACATCTGTTGAGGATGATGGTACGCGGCGCGCAATGACGCCTCGCGAGCGGCAACGTCAAGCTCGATGGCTACCCCGCGACTTTCACTGTATGGGTCATTACTCGAGTGGCGTGCATTGTCAAAAAGAGTCAAGGTATTGTTTTTGTGCCAGCGCGCATCATGTTGCCATGCAAAGTCAGTTGCTTTTCCCCCTGAGAGATCGTGGAACTCGTTAAGCTTGCCACCCAGGGTCCACAGCACCTGGCCAGTGTTCTTGTCAATGCAGCTCACGGTATGGGTATGTCGCGCTGAGACGATATAATTTCCATCATCGTCTTTGTCGACGCTATTGATGTGGTAGAAGTCGAAGGCAAAGTTGCGCACTATTCCTGACTTGCCGAGTTTCTCATAAGTGCTGTTGATGGGGTAATGATTTGATGCGCGCCATTCGAAGAGGAGTTCGCCCGTGGCAATGTCAATTTCTTGAAAGACACCGTCATATATCCAACCCAACTCTGGGCCCCCGATGGAGGTCAGGTCGGCTGGAACAGGATCATAAATTGTCACGAGAGCCGTTCCTTCGGGAGTGATGTTGAATTCATGGAGATCACCGCCATAGTTTCCAACAGGAGAGATCACATATCGCTGAGTATACGTCGAATCCAGCTGAGAACTATTAGTATCTTATCCCACGATGCTTCATTCAGTGTTGCCTACCATATACCAGGCTCCATAACCCCGACCTTCGGTCTCACCTCCCTCCCAGTATGTCAAATAGTCAGTGTCCTGGTACCGCTGGACCTTGAAGTCTTGGGTCACATCCCAATTGTATTTCATCCAGACCAGCTCCCCTTTGGAGTCGAGTATCATCGGCCCCGGCTGGGCAACCGAGTCTCCTCGGGGGGCGAAAAAAGTGTACCGTGAGTCGCAGCCCGACTCCCATTCAGAAATCTGTACCGTGGGAGACTCATATTCGAACGAAACATAGCTTCTCGAGGGGCCAAAGCCGTATAGCCCCAGATCATACCAACTCAGGTCTGTGCGGAGCGACAAACGATGCAGCTGGGGTACGGCGAATGTGTAAAAGAGATAGCAAAGACTGATTAAGGCGCCAACCGTGACGACATGGAGGCCCGAGAGCCTTGAGCGCAAGCGATTGGCGCAAGTGAGGGTCCTAGTCCACGAGGACATTGGAACATTGCGGACGAGCAGAGTAACAAAAGCAGTCCAAGGGATGAATCAAGGGGGAATCGGATCGGGAGTCGTGCGGGATAAAAGGAACAATCTGGGAAGATAGCTTTGTCGGAACCAACGGTAAGACACCAGCTCGCTCATCATGTCATTGAGTTTCCCAAGCATGCGGAGTAACGGCGAGAATAAGAACCACCGCCCCGGTTGAGTTTACCGTTCAGGAGACAGTGGCTCCCCCGAAACGGATGCCAAAGCGCCCCATCCACGCGGCGTCGAACCGATCCATAGAAGCCGATGTCCATCGCAGCGGAGGTCAACGTCGACGCGAACCGCCCATGGCCGGCCATGATTGGCTTCCGCGACCATTCTCCAGCTGTGCCAAGACAGCCACCGTGGATCGGGGAAGCGCGGGCCCACCCTGGCGGTCGTCCACTCTCCCTCTTGCCCCTGTGCTGGGTGCACCACTGGCGTGGCCTGGCAAGTGGAAATTCATTTTCCCCCACTGCGTGGCGGTGTCGGCCCCGTCACCGCGAGCAAGAATTCATTTCGCGTCTGCCTTGGCACCGTAGCGACATTCTATTGTCCCGAATTGCCATTGGCCTGGCATCCTGGACTGATGCGAGTAACCAGGTCCAGCGCACATGAGGGCGATACAGCGCTTTGGCTATCTACGACCGGGATAAGCAAGGCAGCTCTGGATGGCTTTATCCGGTAGAATTATCTGATCTGTGGCGGATAGGCGGATGATATCTAAATGGCTTGCGTGAGTTGTGACGACTAAAGATAACTCCCGGTGCTGACAGCCACTCGGACCCGCCCGCGTCGTCACCAAGCTCGAACTTTACTCCATTCCGAGGCAAATATTCGGCACCAGGCACGTCAAGTTCAATGGAATTCGGGCCCTTCCAGAAGGTGCGCATTCGATACTGGAATTGACCTTTTTGGTTCTCCCTCAAGTACGCGTATCATGGACTCCTAGATATAGTAATGTGAAACAGGGGAGCCGTCTGGAAGATCACTGCCGGACTATTATTGGGATTCATCATCGTCATGCGGGTGAAACCAGTCGACCCTCCGCTAGTCAGAACCGGTTGATGATTGGCCAGAGATTGACAGTGGGGCAGCACGCGTGATGAGGCCTCGGCAAGGGTCATTCTGCTCCAATCAGATAGGGGTCGGCACTCTATCACCAATGAACACAGAGCTTCCATGTTGACTTTGTCAAAGCATGGTGCTGTCAACTGCGGAGGGATCCTACTGGTGCAAGCGACTAATCGCGGAGGAAGCGGATAACTTAGAACGGACAGCGGAACGCAGTATGATGATTGTGGCTGCCCATGGAGTTCGGAGAAACTGTCTTGAAGACTGGTGCAAGCGCCATCTCCGAGTCCCTTAGGGTGTACTTCATACATACGAAGCACCTCTAGATCATACAAACTAAAAGCGCGGCACTGAAGACGTGTCTATTGACTGATGAGGACAAGCATAGGAGAGACTAACAACCGCACCCCAGGATCCGGCTAAGCCAACCATTGCTTCCGAGTCAACAAATCAGCACAGAGCTTGTTAGGCAGAAGAGATACTGAATCGCTATCTACCCCCATAACCACCCACGCACGACCATGGCCACCAGCGGCGCTGCGATGACGCCATCGCACCAATGGCATCAGGTCCGTCCACCCAGCAATGTATCTGTTTTAAGGTTCAACCAGCATAGATCCGATGTCATTGTGGTCGCATAACAGCGTTGACTTGCAAGATCAGTCCGGATTGCGGCGTCCCAGTACACCTGACCCAGCCTAGCGTGGATGCGGCAATCTTTCCCGAGGCCCCAATGGGTTCGGCCGGTGGTTCCAAACCCTGATTTGACCATGGGAGCGACATGTCCCTGGGAGACCGTCAGGACCACTACTAAGAATAGTACTATTGGCCGAGGCGAGGGCCGTCGGTGCAAAATTCTACCCCATATCATAGGTAGTGTGAGCTCCTTTATCGAATCCCGGCATGCCTTAGTCGGTGCTAGTCTGGGATTTTAGTGTCTACGGCTACATGAGGAAGTGGAGACTTGCCTGGACCGGGGAATGATTCCCGAGGTGTGGTTTCGCGCGTCTCGCCAAAGCCACGAGATCAGTTTCTTTGTGCGATTGATATCGATGGCGTGCTATTGTTCTCGGATGTCCTGCTCGTTGCTGGCCCGATAGAACAAGCCTTGTCTTGGCAGTTGGCTAATACCGTTGCAGTCCCAACATGGCCTCGTACTTTAGGGGGCTTAAGATTGGCCCGGAAAAGAAATTATCGGTGGAGCCTGGGACCGGATGGATCCGATTGAGCAAACAACCAACCCACAAGTCAGAAGTGATAGGTGATCAGCAAGTATTAGGCAGACAAGATATATATGCAGTCTTGTTATCGACCACCTTTCTGTTGACGTAAAGTTATTCTTCCATCAGGATAGCTTATCTCGTTTTTTAGTGAGTTGGTATGCGGTGTGATGCTGGGTGTCATGCGTACGACAGTATGCCATTGTCACTTATGTTGATGAGATCAGATTGACCAAGCAGGTGCCTTATTGTCTCCCTATTCCTCTCCTTCCTTTGTTTCCCCCAGCATGACTACCTTGACCTCCACTCAACCTCTGCTGCACAGTACTCTTGACCTGTCGTTATTTCGTGAGAGCAAGGCCTTCGTCAACATCGCCATCGTTCTCACTCAAGTCCAGGGGCGCTTCGCCTTTGTGGCTACTATGAGATTTTCGTTCCTTGCGGATGCCCTGCTGGTAACGTGCCCCTGTCACAAAGGAAACTTAGCGTTGGCCTAGTAAGTGAAGTCACTAGATCTAAAGATAAACATACACATAGCCTCTCGCTTTTAACAGCATAAAATTGAATCTCTTCATTGCATAAAGCTCGCAAGACAATCACATGGTCTTTTGCTCTTCAAACCACGTTTTTCCGGAATTCAAGGCTGCAGAGCTAACAAGTCACGGGTTAATCTTGATCCACCATGCCCCGGATCTATAGTGATGTCTGGAGATTGATCGCACAGTCACAGCCCCTGTGGTATCTATCTCGTTGCTCTATGGTTCATCTTAGGTAGTATCCAGAGTGGGTCTTCGTCTGCACCTTCGGTGACACTTTCTTTGCCAAGAAGGGATCAGAGGATTGCGGCTTTTTAAGTTGGTATACTTCGGATGTGGATAAGTTTGAAGTACTTCCGGCATGGCTCCTTGATGATCCTTCAGAGCTGGTGGTAATTTCTGGTTCAGCCGGGAACTCCGCCTGAGGGTACTGGCGCGAAACTTTATCCTGAGCCCACGGCTCAAAGGAGGCTGCGTTCTTGAGATTCATTCAGAGAAGGCGATCGTGGGCGACCGGTTGGCGAACGGCCATCAAAATACAATTTAGGAGATTGATGGTATAATCCAGACTTTGATAAATCTCTTGGATTTCTGTGATCCCATTGCCGTCGTCTTCGGACTCGATCTCGCTGTCACCTGAGAGAAAGCTTCTATCTTCATGTCCCTGTCCGGCCTCACCAGCCACCTCTTTTAAGTCTTGTAATACTCGGAGCGTTTGTTGCAATAGCTTCATGGTTGCGCTTCCTAAATGGGAGGAGTCACGAAGACGATAGTTCAGTGATGATTGACCGACTTGATGAACGCCGATATTCCTAGACCAAACCCAGAGTCGCCCCAGCTCGCCCAGCCAGCGGCTTTGGGGCACTTCCTAGAAGGGGGGAGATCTCCAACACTACCAATGCCTATAATCACCGGTAGGAGCAGCTGGCCTGGTGTTGGCCATCCTTCCCCTGATGGTTAAACACTTAGACGATTATGTTCCTTGACTGGAGAAGATCAAGCGCTTGAACGATATCGCCGGGAAATGGAAGGTTATGTGAGGGGACCGAGTGCTCAGTGCGCGGTTCTCTGCTGAATACGTTGGAGCTCTTACTAGAGCATGTGGTTGATGACCACGACAAACGATTTGACTTGATCAGCAATCCAAAGAGCCCTGACTGGAAGGACATGGCGTTCCAGGATAGGGTGACGGTAAAGCTCGGTCGTGATTACATGTCTTCGTTGCAACTGTAGCCGGATTCTGCAGGTTTTTGGAATAGCTTTCTCGTAAACTGGGGCTCGAGACACAAATTTTATTCCAGCGCAGGCTATGTGGCCTCTCGTTGGATTAAAAGGACTCATGATTTTATCCCCACAGGCCATCTCCATCAAACCACTAACCGCCATGAAGTTCCATAAGGTCTTCTCCGGAGCCATCCATGAAGAGATGTTAAATGTGATCAAGAAGCCAAACCAGATACTGAGGACACTGCGAGCAACATGAATACCGGGAACTAACACCACGCCGTTCGAGCCGGCGTAGGGGAGGCTTATCCCATTTCGCGAGAGCAAAACCATGCCAGGGCGCTTTATGATATCATGGTCGGTGGGCAGTGTTGGAAGTGCCTCTGCAATTCGGTATGTCCACAGCTTGACAGAAATGCCATTTCAAGAAGAATGGTATGAGATCGCACTAAGTGCCGACTCAATCGGCGAAACCTTACAAGTACGACGAGCCCAATGGGCACAAAGAAACTGCCCCAATCACTCACCAAAAATACGCAAGGTTCAGTTCATTGTCTATCAAGTGCACTGCCTGGAAGTGACACAGCAAACTGCAATGGTCCGTCCACTCCTCGTTGAAGACCTTTGCTTAACACTTGAGAGACTCAACTTGCGGACATGTTTCCGAAGAAGCTCCGAGTACAGGCGAGAGATACAACGTACGCGTGTTTCTTACAGCCAAACAGCAACTTCAACTGCACTCCTACAAGAAATCTTATGCCGTTCTCCGTCCTCGCCTGCGTCCCCGATCCAAAGCACCGATGGGTTAGTCGCCGGGACCGGTTATATCTCGCCGCACTGCTAGCGGCCATTTCTCCAGCTACACGTGAGCTGGCTCAAGGAACAATGGTAAAGCCAGGATATCTTGTTCCCTCGTCATTCCGAACACAGATATATATACGACTATCCATAAATTTCCTGGAAGGTGTTAACCTCGGACAGAAATGGGAGTGTCCGCTCGATATCCTCTCTCCTCTTGGTTTAGCCTTAACCGAACTATTGTTGGGCCATACCATGCCTTCTCTTTAATTGCCCGCAGACGAGGACATGATGGACGATTGATTGCAGTGTAACACTGCCACTCGGGTGCTAAAGAAAGCCTACGAGAGCGAGACGGACTATGGGGACGCTGTGAAAGAGTGTTTAAATTGGACCCGAAATAAAGGTGAGGCTTTCCAAGATCCCCAGTTTGAGGAGTCAGTTTTCGATGTTATTCCGTCTCGTTTATAAAAGGACTCATCATTTCGAGGGATTTCATTCTGGATCATGAACCCGCATGAATTCCAATCGATCGGACGGTTTGTCCATGATTCAAAGGGTTGCGTTAGGGATTACCAGCGACGAGAGAATGAATCTTCAGTGCAAGCAAAAAAAACAAAAGAAGAAGAAAAAACATACAACAGAAGGGATTCGCTGATGGTCACCCAACTACTAACCTCCCGGCGTGTGGCTTAAACGTGGCCAGAAGACGGATGGGTGCTGCTTGGGTGAGAAATAGGTGAGTGCTGTTTTAGTGTCGCGCGACCGGGGGTGAGCAGGGTAAGTATGCAATAGATGGGGTGAGCATTCTTACCTGAGATCGGAGATCATGCAGACTGATGTAACTAATAAACCTTGATATCTATAAAAGATAATGTTAAGATTGATTATTAGATATAAAAATCTTGCTACCTGTAACGCTGCCTTTCTTGACTATATTATTAGTCACGGTGATAATCTGATTCTAGCTGCCATATCCCAGTGCAGAGAAGCGGTCAGTTATATTTTTATCTAATCAAGCTCAACGGCTTCTTATATCATGGTCACTTCATCTTTATGTCCGAAGTGAAACGCTGTATCTGAAATAGTATAACTATATTTTAATCTTGTATTGATTATATGGGGGGGCCTGCAGTAATTGATATAAACTTATCTCTAAGATTAATCCTAAAACCTGCAGAAACTGATATTATATAAGAGCCTTGGAGTGTCTGTAGAGAATATAGCTGTTACAGACCCCTGCTAGCCAGGTTACTAGCAGAAGCGGACTCGTCAGGCAGAAAGGTAACGACCAGAAAGGACTCGGGCAGCCAGCAACTCTTATTGAGTAAGATCCCGGTTGAGGTAACACCCGAGGCAACGCTGTGTCACGTGACCATCTACCATCAGATCTACCATCGAGGGTATACGATATGGTATACGGGATCCGGGAACGTGATTGGATCGACCCTCGATCTATCCTGAATGGTATACGAAATGGTATACGAAGGATAGGATATAAGGACACTCTTTCATGTACTTAGTTAGTTCTGTTCTTCGTGCTCAATTCACATTGTCTTTAAGTAACCTACGTTTTGGTAGAGCTTAGCGACAACACTCGTCCGCACTTACTTACGGATAGCTGCACGGCACTATCTGGCCTTACTTCTCTTCTCTTGTTCAGATCAAGTCACCTTTAGATAGTCAACAGCCTGACTACCTTTGATTCAGTTCACAAGGTAGTCAGGCTGTTGACTATCTAAAGGTGACTTGATCTGAACAAGAGAAGAGAAGTAAGGCTAGATAGTGCCGCGCAGCTATCCGTAAGTAAGTACAGACGAGTATTATCACTAAGCTTTATCAAAACGTATGGTTACTTAAAGACAGTATTATTGAGCACGAAGAACAGAACTAACTAAGTATATGAAGAAGTGTCCTTATATATCCGTCTCTTGTATACCATTCTGTATACCATTCTATATACCACATGCATATACCATATACCCGACCATATACCCTTTCATATACCCGCAGTCACGTGACTCATAACACGTAGCGGCTCAGTTCGGGTCCTTCCTGATAAGAGTTACATCTTTCCGAGTACAGCCCTTCTGCCTGATATAACTGCCTTACTAGTCTCTTTAGCTAGCAGGGGTCCGTAACACCACCTCCCTTCCTTCAAGATTCTTATCCTTAAGAATATAAAGGTGAGTGCCCCCGTGTACACTATTAGCTAGATTCTTCAGTTCTCTTTTCTCCTCAGGATAGGTCATCATGCCTAAACGTAACAAGTATGCTGATAATAAACATTTGGCTAATAGGATTAAAAATTCTAGTCATCCTGTTGACACCCCTTATGCTTTCTACTTTTTTCAAGATAAAGTCTATATTATGAGTTTGTCTGCTTGAAGTAAGAAATATTTAGCTTATACCTTGCGCGGTCACAAGTGCAAAAAATAGTTTCATAATAACTAAGAATAGGATAAGCTCAAGCAAAATAAGTAAAAAGTTACAGCTAATCTTACAGTAATTTAACAACAATTTCTGTAATATTCTAAAAAGATAAATCAAGTAATAATAAAGATTATTCACTTGTAAAAATATTAACAGTTTCTAAAGAATTATGGTGGTCGGATGTTAAATCACAACTCAAATATATTGGAATAACTGGATGATAAGGATTCTTCAAGTACTGAGGATCTTTAAGAGCTAGAATATCTAGTTAATAAATATAATACTACTCAACTTGCCGCTGTGTCAGACACTCCTAGTCTGATTTAGTTAATTAGTTCCCCTTCTTTCTGGGCAAACTTTAATCTGTCTGTCAATAATATTACTTCACAAGCTGGTAATAGCTTATCAAATTCTCGATAGGTTTCCATATGTTTTTTAAGATATCATATTCTTTCTATTTTACCAGATACTTTGATCTGCTGCTAATCTTCTTGTGGTCTAGAATCTTTTTAACTTTATATTCTTATTCTGTATTGTTGTTAATCTCCACATTTTCTGTAATTCTAGCATTCTTTAGTACAGGTTTTAATAATGAGATATAAAATACTAGATAAATTCTGTTTATTAATTTTAATAATCTTAACTTATAATTAACCAGTCTCTTCTTATCTTTAATAATAAACAGTCCTAGCTTGTGATAGTCAAGCTTCTGACTTAATTATTTTATCTTGATATTTCTATAGAATAGAAATATCTTCTTCCCTTTTTTAAAGTCAGGTTTTCTTCTGTATCTATAATCATAATATATCTTACTGTACAAGTTCATAAACTCAATATCTCAGAATAACTGTAAATACATGTTTTCCATAAATATGATAATATTCTTGGCTATATTAATAACTTATTATTTTCTTAATAGCATTTTTAAAAACCTCAGATAATATCTATAATTAATGTAAAACAGTAAGACTTTAATAATCAAGTAACTGGTATTATTGTAAGAAAATTATATTATTAGTAGTAGATTTATTTAATCATTCTGCTAGTAGTTTATATAGTATCTTAAGTATTATTTAATTATCTAATTAATTTTTTCTGTTTGCCCATTTATCTGTGAGTGATAAGCTATTATTATTTATTCTTCTATTTTTATAAGATCTGCGAGTGATCTTCAGAACTTTAAGATAAATAACTTATCTTGATCTGATATAATATACTTTAATATTCTATAATATATAACAATATTTTCTAGAAACAGTTCTGCTATCTGTATTACTATTATTATTATCTTACTTAATATAAGATAAATATATTTAGTAAGATAATTAGTAATAACTGTAATAGTATTAAATCTTTCTAATTTTAATAATAGATTAATAAAGTTAATTATTATCTATTTCCATGGCCGCTGTGGTGCCTTCTATACTTATATTTATTTATAGGATTAGTGTCTTGCAGGCTTATTCTTAATATAAGTCTTATATTATTTAATATAATCGCGTATTTTTTATCTGAGGTTTGAAATGTAATAATTCTTCATGATTAATTCAGTTATCTTCTCCATTTCTAGATAGCTCTTGAGTAGTTTATTATAATATTTAACCATAATCTCTGTTCTCATCGCGGTTAATATAAAGATTAATCTATAAAAGTATACTAGTCTATCTTTATTAATAATAATCTTATCTGGTAAGTTCTTGCTTATTTTCTAGAATATTTTATTATTTTTTATATTTTTAGTTAATCACTTAGTTAGGTTGTTACCTATTTCCAATATTGCTGTTAGATAGGTCTTATTATAGATGATCAATCTATCTGTATTCTGCTTCAAGATGGCTGGTTTAATAGCCTTTTTATTTAATTCATAATCTGGCCTGTGGCTTAGTATATCTACGTGTTTATTCTCTACTCTCTTACAGTATATAATTCTGAAGTTATATTATAACAGAATCTCAGCCCATCATGCCTGTCTTCTAGTCAATTCTTTAGTTATTATGAAGTAAGTCAAGTTCTTATAGTCTGTCTTTATAATAACAATATGCTTTACTTTTTCAAGATAGATCCTCTATTACTTAAATACTATTATTATAGCTAGTAATTCCTTGTTATGAATATTATAATTAAGTTCTGCTTGAACTAACTTCCTTAAGTGAAATATAATCAGTCTCAGCTTTCTGTCTTTTCTAGATTGTGTTATACATATATTAATAGTGTAGTCTGATATGTTGGTTTTAATGGTTATTTCTTTTTTTAGATCGTGCTGTACAAGTACTAGTAATATAATAAGTCACTACTTAATATCTTTAAACATGCTCTACTGTGGTTCTCTTCACTAGTACTTCTTTAACTTCTTTATAAGCTTAAAGAATGGCATTATATAGATAGTATATTCATCCATGAATTATTGATAGTAATTAACTAATCTAATAAACTGCTGTAGTTCCTTCAGATTTCTAGATTAAGATTAATCCTGTATAACTTATACTTTAGCTTGCTTAGTATGGATTTTCTTTATAGATATCTAGTATTTTAGAAACTCTGTTTCCCGTACATGAAATTCATACTTTTTTAACTTATATTATAATTAATATAGGTATAGTTTATATAAAACTAGTCTTACATATCTTACGTGTTCTTTCTCAGTCTTTAAAAAGATTAATATATTATCTAAGTAAGTAATTATAAACCTGTCAAGATATTCTCCAAGAACTTTATTAATATATTACTAAAATAACACTGGTGCGTTGATAAGCTTAAATAATATAATCAAGTACTTAAAATATCTATACTTTATTTTAAATATAGTCTTTTATTCTTTATCTTCCGTAATGTGTATATGATAATATATATTTATAATATTAAGTTTAGTGAACCACTTTGTTCCTTGTATCTTATCTTGGATTTCTGAAATCAAAAATAACAGGTATTAATCCTTAATTATAATAACATTCAGTAAATAATAATCCATGTATAGTTATAAACTACTGTTCTTTTTTAATATAAATAAGACTCTATATTCTGCTAGTGACTTTAAAGGC